CTCCAGAAAATGAGAAATGTTCAGGGGATGGAGCCACATTTAGCTGGCTAAGACAAAACAAAAAACAAAACAAAACAAACAAAAACATAAAACCCCCCAAAATCTTGCTCTGGTTGCTGCAATGAGGAAGCACAAAAATATGAAGTAGATGGAATCCAGAACTTAGTTTTTTGTTTTTGTTTCTGTTTTTTTTTTTTTTTTTTTTTTTTTTTGCTTTGAAACTATATGCTTGAAGGGGAGTTCTCTCAGTCAGGTGAAGGTTTTGTGGGATTATTTTTTTTTCTGCTTCCATCACTTAAAAGAATAAATGTAAGGTACAGACTAGAAAAGTAAGAGCATAACTATTAAAAAGGACAAATATTGTGTAAACAAAAAATAGGGAGAAACACACCCACGTGTAAAGACACATACACGTGGAAAGCCATCTCGTGTAATCTTGCTTAATACACTCTTTAAGTAAAAGGAACTCTAAGAAAATCTAAGAGAATAAAGTTCACTGTTTTTGAAACTAGATTGCCTTTTGCTGAAGGTTGAAAGTTGCCACATTAAGATATATAACACAGAGTATTAACATACAATATAGCGAGCCACGTTTCACAGCAGGATGCACCACATATCACGGCATATGAGGAAAACAGCAGTGCCATCCCATTTAGGGTGTTTATAAACGAGGCACTGCATACTCTGGATAGCGGTTTGATTTTTTTTTAACATTTAAATGTAAAAATGTATTTTATTAAAATGAGAGGTGAAGATTCCATAATCATTAGATTTTTAATTAGCTTTTTCCCCCCTAAGGCATGGCATGTTTTGTGATTTTCTCCCTTATGTTTCTATTTTTAGCATTCGATTCCCAAACCCGGGTTTAAAAAAAACTCAGCATCACGTATAGAGTGCTTTCCATCAGCTGAGACGCAGTAACGGGAGGGACATGAGAAGCGAGCAGCGGTGACAAGGTCGCGAAGCGTGTGCGGGGCGAGGCAGAGCGGACCCCGGCCCTGCAGTCGGGGAGCGCCCCGCCCGGGGAAGCGGTGCGGAGAGCGCTGCGTGCTCCCTACCGCCACCTGCTGTCCCCGTGGCGTCATCACACGGAGCAAAGTCGTCAGGTCTTCATAGCTTTGAGACTTAGAAAACAGTCCTGTTTATTAAGATAAATCCCCTCACTTCATATAGTAAACAGAGTATGAAAGGTCATTTGCTCCACTTCCTTACCCACAATAGGTACGTTAAGGTTTTAAATTTTAGCCATTTCGGTGGTTTGGTCGTCAGGGGTATCTCGGTTTTATTTTGCTTTCTCACGGTGACTAAGGTTGAGCATCTGTCACACGTGATTACTGGTAGCTTGGACACCCTCTTTTGAGAGGTACATACTTCAGTTTTTGCCCTACTTCCGTTTTTCCTGTTGGGCTGCCTTCTCTTTTTCTTATTGATTTGATGAGTTCTTTGTTCTGGATGGAAGTTCTTTGTCAGCTACACATTTTAAAATACTTGTTCTCATACTGGTTTGTCTTTTCATTCTTATAATGGTAGCTTTTAATGAACAGAGCTCCTAATTTCAATGTAAATTGAAATTTTACATTTACTCTAAAATACGCACAATTGTACATTTAATGAAAATTGTTAAGTCCAGCTGACCAATGTTTTTCCTTTATGGTTGGCCTTTTCTCGGGTCTTAAGAAATCTTGGCCTACACCAACGTTAGGAACATGTTCTCCAGTGTTACCTTCAGAGGCTTTATCATTTAAACTTTCATATTTAGATCTACCTGAAACTGATTTTTCTGTAAGTGTGAGATAGGGGTAAAGATTCTTTTTTTTTTTTCCGTCATGATAGTCACATTGACCACTGAAAAACCACTTTCCTCACTGCACGTCACCCTTGTCATAAATCACGTGACTCAATATCTGTGGCTCTGTTTCTAGTCTCCATTCCACTGGCCATGCATTTCTTCTGCAATAATAACTATAACAGAAGCAGTTATTGTTTTAAAGCCCACAGGGCCTTTTGTCCACTGTTACTTCTAGCATTCCTAGCAATGTGACAGCATCTTCAAAAAAAAAAATCCTCTTTTTAAAAAAATTATTTATTTTGGGGGGTGGGTAATTAAGTTTATTTATTTATTTAAATAGCGGTACTGGGGTTTGAACCCAGGACACCTCCTGCTTGCTAAGCGTGCACTCTGCCACTGAGCTATACCTACCCCTGACAGCATCTTAATACAGGTTTCTGAGGGACCAATCTGGGTCTTTCTTCCACAATTAAATATTAACGGGACTTACTATTACTACCACCACCACCACCACCACCACCACCACCACCACCTAGCTGACACCCACGTAGGACTTACTGTGTGTCAGGTACTCTTCTAAGCACCATACACACATTAACTCATTTAATCTCCCCAATAACTCAGTGAAATAGGTACTATTATTCCCTTTTATGGATGAGGAAGACACAGCAACTGACCCAGCTAAGTGGGGGCGCCAGGATGCGGATCCAGGCCGCCTGGTTCCAGAGTCTGTGTTCTCAGCCACTACCCTTTCCTGCCTCACTGCCTCTCTTATAGGCAATGTACTTCCTTATGAACCATGAAATGCAGCCGGGCAAAGGGGGCAGGAGCACGTCTCCTAGCCCGCCGGCCATCAGTCACAGCAGGGCAGTTTGACTGCGGAAGGTCCCCTCTGTCCATTCACTCACTCTCTGGGGCACTGAGTACTCCTTTGAAGGCAGGCTGGGAAACCGAGGTTGCTTAAACTCTCCCTACACTGGGGCTGGATGTAAAACCTTTGATGAAATGGCTCCTGTTTTCCTTTCCAACCATCACCCTCCAAACCCCTCAAATACACTGTTCTGTGTTCTTTATGGGATAGTCAGTCAGGTTCGGCCACAAGAGGAGACACAGGAGAGGCTCAGGAAAACAAAGTTTATTATCCTCATGGGTCTGAGAAACAGGAGGCACCCATGCCACACAGAGCCACCTGGGGGAGCACCGGTGCCGGTCAGGAGGCAGAGGGACAGGAGCCAGGGGAGAGCCTAGACCTGGCCTTTATTAGATTCCGCATTTCTGCAGGAAAGGCAGGCAGGGCGAGGTACAGCTTAGGACTGGCTAGCTTAAACAATTACAGCGGGCTCCAAGCTACAGGAGTGCTCCCTGGTTGCCCGGTACCTGGTCCTCGCATGATTAAGGCAGAGGAATACTGTCCCCTGAGGAGCAGGGCCAGATCATACAGATACGGCCCCGCACTGGTGAGGCTGCCCGCGAGGCCGGCTCCTGGGTGAGAACTCGGTAGTCTTAGCAGGGCAGTCTCTCCCCAGCCAGAAGAAATTTCATGTTAAGACATCGTAATAGATAGAAAATCTTAAAAAAACATAAACAATACATGTGTTCTGTATTGAAACTACGTGTAGTAACCAAAGGCCACGTGCTTCATCTCAGAGCGTATATTGTTCCCTGCTTGGATGGCACTTGTGTTGTTTCTCTTTAAATCTTGGATCAAATACCACTTTTCTCAGGTCAAAGCCCTCATGACCGCAGATGTGCAGCTAAGAGCTTTCCCCACATCACACCCCGGTGGCTGTCGCACTTTCCAGACCGCTGTAATTACTGGTTACGTTACTGTTCCCTCTATTATTGCAAGACCCTTTTGAGGGACTCGGGAGTGGAAAGAGGTAGAAATGTACTTTGAATGAAAGTATAAATGAAGGAGCAAACGAAAGAAACTCTCCCTTCCAGAGACAACACTCCACTCTTGACTCCTTTTTCCTCACCTGTACCATGAACCACACACACAACATGGTGTCACGGCTCCTTCTTTCACTGAAGGCTGTGACATCTACCGAGAGTTCTTCCTTGTTTGAGGCTGGGGTGGCTGAGGCAGGAGGAAGGCCCAGGGTTTTCATCGGTTAGTGATTGAAATCAGTAATCTCAGTGTTAATATCAGGAAATGAATTAGCAAAATAGAAAATACATTTGAAGGCACATATTTCCAACTAAAATATATAAAAATTCCAATGTTCAGAGTTTACTCACTATTCTAAGTCTATCTCATTAATGAATTAATCCTTACAACGCGTGGTAAGCAAAGGGTATAATTTCCATCGTAAGATGTGGAATGAAGCTCAGAGATGCCAAACGACTTGGTGTGAAGTCCCAAAGCTAGTAAGTGACAAAGGGTAAAATTCTAATTCAAATCTCTGGCTTCTGTTACTAAATTTGGAGCACCTTCCATTAGGCCCTTACTTACTGCTCTTCAACTTACATTTATTTCCCCTCACCTTTTCTTGCCAATATTCTAAAGAACTTCTTATAAATATTATAAAGGACTTCTAGGTAAACCTAGAGTGGTTTCATTATGAAATGATGAAACAGTTATCAAATGTTCCTCGGTAAAATTAGGGACATAAGATACAAAGTACAATGAGTCGGTCTTACAGAAATGGACAAAAGATTATGGGTCCAGTAGAAAATTAGGTACCTGATCACAAAGTTTAATTTGTGGCGGTATAAACACAGGAGTCAACAGCGTATGAAAACCTGAAAACATTTTTATGAACCTAACCAAAATAAAAATAATATTGTACAAGCCTAATTTAAAATGGTTTTTTCAAACGTCTTTTCTCTGTCTTAATTTATCAGCAGGTGAGCCACCTGACCCTATTTAAAAAATTTCCATTTAAAAACATTCACATAAATATTAACATCTCATACGTGGAAAGAGAGCTGTGTTTCTTTCATAAGCTTCTGAATAGGTGGTTTAAAACCCCCGCTGGTACCCTTACTTAGCTCTGCGGCTTATGTTTATAAAGGCATTTCTGTCCTGGGACCCTTAAGAAACTGGAGTTTCAAGTAATGGACATATTAGCCTTCCCTCCTCCTCCTCAGCCATCCTCAAGATTCAGGGAAATGTAAAGGAGTCAACTCTGACAATGGCTGGGGAACCCGGCCCCAGCAGTGTTATTTTCCTAAATGTTATTTTATGAAATAAACATTAATCCAACAGGAAAGAGAAACATCAAGTGTTTTATTACACATTTTCAATTCAGAAATATAAACAATATCTACATAGAATTACATTTCGGTATTTATACAGCATTAACATAGAAGAAAGTAAGAAATGTAGGTTTGGGGGTTAATGACCATTACAGTTGAAACAAGGTGACTTTCAAGTTCATGGTACACAACAAAAGGGATTATTAAAGAGTATACTGAAGAAAAATAATTTCATAAAAAATTGTTAGCCACATGGCTCAGGATTTATGTTAATTATATTTTGACTCCTAATATTTCTTCCTTATTAAAAAAAATACAAGCCTATTTACTAACTATGAAGCTTAGGCTTTGCTTTCAATAAACCTTGTTAGCATAATATGATATTTTACAGTTTATTTTTTATAAAGTCTAAACATAATTGAAGAGCAAAACTTTGGGAGTGCTCTAAAAATGTCAAGTAATGAAAAGGTACTGAAAATTGTATTGGGGAAAATGTCACATTACAGTTCAATAAATGTAAATGATATTAGAGACATGAATGTACTTCACGGAAGAGTGTATTGGCCTGATAATACAGGCACATAAAGGAATGGACATGCACCACTGCATGGGATGCCTCTTAATCTAACAAGGACAGTCTACTGCCAAGCAGGGTGAGCAGCCAGAATGAGACAAAGTGAGCTGGCCCAAATACAATTTCAAATTGCTAAGTAAACTTGAAAACACTTTCAACATTTATTTAACTATAAAATACATAAAATAAGAAAATACTGAATTGAAAACTAGGCTCAAAGTTGGAATCAAAAATTTTTTTCAATTGAGAAAATGTAGGCAAACCTAGTTTATGAAATAATCTACAGAGACAAATGATGGGTATTGTTTTGATTATCATTAAAAAAATGTTTTGCTGAAAGCAACATTCATGTTTTCCATTATATCACATTACATAGCCACAAAGCAAGTTACATATCCACAAGTTATAAAAATAAATCTTTCTGTAGATTAAAAAACAAAAATAGAATAATTTGTATTATAAAATTTTAAAAAATATGGCAAACTAATCTGATAATCATGACTTTTTTTGCCATGATTATAATTCAGTCTTTATCTAGTCAATAAATTAAATCAGAAATCTCTGATCCACCAATGTTTTGGATGCCAAATTCTTCTGTCCTACTGTATTACGGATAAATCTAAAAATCTAAAAAAGAGGTAAAACAATTCAGAATAAAAAATATATAAAGGAAATTAAATACACACATCAATTAAAATATCTAAATTAAACTAGCTAATAACTCAACTATTTATTTTCATGTATTTGACATCTGAATTCCATGATGATATATAAAATTATTTCAAGACTATTGTCATCTTTCATAATATTGAAACACTGTATGTTCTTACTTAGAATATATTTTTATAAATAATAACACAAACCCTTTCATGTTCACAGGAATATACTTTTAAATATCTGGCAAGGCAAGTTTCTTCTAGCTCTAAAAATTATGGAAATAGCAAAAGACCTGTTAGGAACAGAATTTCTTCATATTCCTAGGTCTCTATCAGGAACTAATAAAACTTATCTTATTACCTCATGTACTTCCTTGACATAGTGAAGAATATTTGGGTGATATTAATACTAACATTTCTGGAACAAATTTGGCTTTTCTTGAAGTCTCCATTTCAGGCTCCACACCCATCCACACAGTTGTTTTTCACCCAAGCAGGAAGGGAACATGTGACAGTGATGAGGTAAAGGGGCTGACCCTGAACTAGATCTCCAGTGTTCGCCTTTTTGTTACATTAACCTCTGGTGCAGAGGGTGAATGGGACTTTAACTACTGCTCACTTCTGGCCTCTAGGAGACTTGCAATTTAAATGTCTTCCTGCTGGATTCCTTTCACATTTGCTCAAGCAACTTATGCCCTCCACAGGAGCCCAGTATTTCACTGACCCTGAAGGACAGCGTAGAATGAACTTGGTTGAAATGTTTTTGTGTTTTTTTGGCAGGGTTAATCATATTCTAAATGTTTATAAACTAGTAAAAGTAGACATTTACTCTCTGCTATAAAAGTAGTTACTTCTAACATATTTCTTCTAAAAGAAATCCAGAAAAAATTTTAACATTTACCTCTTGTTGTAGGTATGTAAGGCAGGCTGCTAAAATAAAATTTTGGCAAGCCAAATCCACAACACAGAAGAACAGCAGATCATAAATAAGAAGAGTGGCTTCATTTCCATAATACAGAACACTGCTGAAAGAATAGCCTTCATCTATTAAAAAAAAGCAATTTATAAGATATAAATTAAAAATTTTAAATAAAATAAACTTGTGATAAAGTTCTGGTGATAAAGTTTGGATATTTAAAAACAGCACAATAGAATCTAGTTACTATAATACTTCATGGCTACTGTATGTCAGTTATAGGAGTTACATTTGAGACAAAGAGATTCTAACATCATCCAAGGTTCCCACCTCCTCTAGGTTCTACCTTCTGCACAAATGTCTTTGCCTGTCTTTCTTGGACCCTCCTGCTTGGCAACAGCAACTTATTTTTAAGACCCAGTTCAAACTTCAATGTGGCCTGTATGGCTTCACCCTGGGTCTGGTTAATTTTCTATGTTCCTTCCTGCACCCAGTGTAACCTGTGTCTGCACGGATTTCTATCCCAGCATCACTCCAGTCTCCCATCACTTCCATAGTCTACTAAACAAGATGCCCAAGGGAGGGACGGACCGCTGGTCTGTGCATCCCAGGACTGGAACAGCTTGTGGCACTCAATAACACACGGGTGAGTGACATCTGTTAGACCATTTCCACTCTTCCCAACCCACACAAGAGGTTACACCGGTCACACTGAAAGTGACATACACACTACCTTTTTACTGATGAAGTGCCAGCTTAGTCACTATTCCTGTCACAGATATTTGCAATTTTTAAGAATCTGGATAAAGTGAAACGTTAAATGTTAAAGCCAAATCGCAAACATTATTCTCTTTATGTGTTTCCTATGTATGCCGCCGAAGGAACGTTCCAATAAAAGCTAAACTTCACGTATTTGTTTTACTCTCTCCCATGTGTACGACTGATTTTAAAATTCAGCTCTTTTGCTTTCTTGTAGAAAAATTATCTTTTACATATTTGTTTCTTGCTACATGAATAATAAAATGGGACACAGAAAACTACTGTTAATTCCTTGAAATTAGCTAAAGTCATTAGGTTTTCTATATACATTTATAAAATCAAGACAATGACCACAAGAGCATTTTTTTTCAAACTTGGAAAATAATAATCAAGTTCAGCAAAGGCATTCAAAAGATACCATTGTAAAAGATGCTTTTTTCCACTGGTTCCATGAATTCCATTCCAAGAATTCTTTCAAGAAGCAATTTATCTTTTATAAAGTAGTCCATTTCCTTATGAACCTAAAACAAAAAGCAAAAGTCATTTCAAAAACAGCAGTGAAACAAAGCATCCCAATTTGTATAAAATCAGAAGGAGAGAAAAAGAAAAATGAACAGTACACAGAGGAAACCTGTTCTTCAAAAAGACAATTCACTGCACCGGGTTTTATAACAAAGTTCTCTCTGGGAACGTTTTAAAATTTAAATGCCCTTAGTAATATTTAGGGTTAGATATACTGAAAATCAATTTATAACAAGCTTTTCAGGAATAGAACCACGGTAAAACATGTTTCTATAATAAATAATATAACATTTTGGAAACTAACAAAATTCCAGTATTGCCATATTTTAAGGTAATCATCTTCTAAGAGACATGTAAAAAATCTCATTTTACTTTTATATACCTAACTCTAAGCCACAGTATTAATTTTTACAGCAAAAACAAACAAACAAAAACCCCACAAGGGTTCTAAGTCCACGGACTTGGTTTACTGAAGAAATAATTGACATTCCTGGTTAACTTTTAAAAAATTGCTGATTCTAGCTTCAAAATAAATGCTGACATACATACATGATCGATGAAAGAGCCAAGAAATTTATTCATAGTATGATATGCTTTTATACTCTGCTCAAAAGTACTTGCTGGTGAACTCAGCAGCCTCGCAGGGCCATTTCTCTGATGTGAAAAAGAGACAAGGATAAATGTAGCATGCCTTACATTCTTGGTATTTAAATAACATGAGATACTGACAAAATATACCTGAACTGAACTTTATACAAACCCTTGTTAGTGTCTCATGAATTCTGTCATAGTGTTGTCTCATCTGGCTAGAAATTGCAATCTGAAAAGTCTGACCATCTGTATTGGGTACCAAACCTCTCTGGCTACACAGATTTTCCTGGAAAGTTAAAAAAGTTTAAATTAAAATCAAGATTATGAAAACTGTGACTATCTGAAAAAGAAAATGCAATATTTAATATTATAAGATGCGGAAGCCAATTGAAATTGTCCTAGAACTATATTCGAGGACAAAGAGACTCTAATATTATCCAAAGTTCCCACCTGCCCCTCTAGGTTCCACTAATTTCTACTCTGTCATACCCCCTTGCAGGTCTTTATAGCATCTCCTTCACTCTGCCCTACTTTGAAGAAACCTCATACTAAGTTCACTGTATACGGACATTCCTAGTGTTCTTTATGATTAATTTACTGCTCTTCTAATGCATGCCAAAAAGTCTAGTCTTAGAACTAACTACTTTTATAAATGGTTTTTCTTGTTTTCTAAACACTTTAAAAACACTTCCTTAATTAATTCCAATAAAAAGGCAGCAATACTTGACCCAGTGGTTAATGTTATGGACCAGGTATCTATCTATTTCAAGTCTCTTTGGTGCGACTTGAATGCTGAGAACCACATACGGGTAACATTTTGCACTGCACCCCACCTGGCCAGCTCTCATAGATGCAGCAAGGTTCAGCTCAGGTATTCTTGCTTCCATCCTCTTGACTTTGCCTACTCTAGAGCTTAACATTCTTCTTCTTTGTCTAAACCTTATCTGCAGATAGAACAGTTGGTTTGCCACTTTCTACTTAAAAGCAGTCTATGTGTAGTGAACTTCTCTATTTAAAAATTTTTCCCCCAGATTGAAAAAACACACACTACTATAAAGAATTTATAAAATATGGAGAGATACAAAAAAGAAGAAAAAACCACCTATAATCTCAACAGCAAGAGATACAGGTACTTTAAGATAATTCATTTCCAGTCACTGTCTAGGTACATACATAAAGATGGCATAAGCTGGGATCACACTGATTTCTTTTGCACTTAGTGTTATATCCTGAGCAACTCTCCATACCATTCAATGTTCGATAAAACATGACTTTTAATGTCTACCTAAAGATGTCACTGTATAGGTAAACCAATTTACTTAATATTCTTATTTTTCCATATTTTTTCCCTTATAAATAACTCCCCTGAAGAAAATCCTGAATCTAATTATTCAAGTTGCTAATTATTTCCTTGAGTTAGATTCACAGAATTAGGGAGTCAAAGATACTGAACTCTTAAAAAGCTCTTGGTATACATATATCACCAAACGCTTTCCAGCAGGTTTGTAAAATTCACCCTGAGACCAGCAGTTTAATGGGTGCCCATTTCACCATGTCCTTGATGTTACTAAGTGTTAGTTTTTTTTTTAAAGTTTGGTAATTTGAAGGGGGCAAAAATGTTATTTTTGCATTTATTTATTTCATGATTTATGAGCTGAGTAGTTTTAGAAGTTTATTAGTCTCTTCTGTTTATTTACATATTACAAAATTTTGTCATTTTTCCATTGAGGTTTTAACCTAGTGTTTGCTTATGGGTTTATATGACTTTCAATATCGTTATCAACATCTTTGCCATATTTACCACAAGAATTTTACCCTGTGTCTTTTATTTATATAATTGTTGGATATATAAATGTCCTACATTAATAAAGTAAAATTAGTAAATATTCCTTTTTTGATGCTTTCTATTTTTTATGCTTAGATTGTCACCTCTCAGTCTGAAATAGTGTTTTCTAAGTTTTTATAGTTTCATTTTTCAACACTCTAACTTTTCATTCCAGGTGTAATTTCTAATAGTTAACCAACTAATCCAGCTCAATCTATCAAATAAATTGTTCTTTTCTGAGATGTTGTTATCATGTATTAGATTCTTACAAGTCCTAGCTACAGTCCCTTAACCAACAAATCCCCTTGGTTTTTCCTCTTAAGCACATATTTTTCTTTTTAAATTTTCTTATGGAAGCTTTCTAATGTGTATAGTAGAGAGAACAGTAAACTGTCCATCACCCAACTTCAACAATCACTGGCATTTTACCAATTTTGTTTCATCTGTCCTCCCAACTTTCTTCTTTCTAAAAAACCCCCAGATACTAGGTCATTTCATCTGTAAATACTTCTTAAGTATTTGTAACCAGTAAGATCTTTTTTAAAGAATGCCATTTTCACACCTAATAAAATAAATCTTTCTTTAATGTAATTTAATATTTAGCCTATTGAATCTCCTAGATTTTTTCCAAAGATTTATTTTTTTATAGTTCATTTGTTTGAATCAGCATCCAAAGCCCACACATTGTATTCGACTGTTATTTTCTTTAATTTCTCTATCTCACCACCACCACCACCACCACCACCTCTCTTTTTCTTTCCGTGCCTTGGATTTGCTGGAGACACTATGTCATCTGTCCCGTAAGATATACCCCATCCTGGATCTGGCTAACCGCTTCCTGTGGTATCACTTATTGTCCCTCTATTCCCCTCTATTTCCTGTAAACTGGTGGTTCGATCTAGAAGCTTCATCATATTCGGCTTTAACTTTCTTAGGCAAGAATACCTCATGGGTGATATTCTGTACTTCCTTATGCATCGTAACAGGAAGTGCATAAAGGCAGTTTTCTTAATTGTTACTTATAGTAGGATTGAGCCAGTGTGTTCAGATTATGTCAACCTGATTCCTCATTAGAAAGTTCCCTGTCATCCTTCATTTATTTGTTTTAGCAAGCACTGATGATTGTGGCCTGTATGCATTAATCCATCAGTCATTACAAAATGGTGATTTTCTAACTTAGAATCCCTTTTACTGTCTATCTTCCATCAGGAGCAATTTCCTCATGAATTACTTGGTTTCTTTGAAATATAGTTCATAAAGGAACTGCAGGATGAAATTTGATTCATCCTCTTTCAATATTCAGGGTAATGAGTTGCTTTCCAAAGTAATCAATGAGGATCTAAAAGAATATTACAAATCCTAGATTAAGAGAACCCATCTCTAAACTGAAAAAACAAAAAGATGTAAAATACATTCATACCGCTTCTCTCTTAAGATTCATATTCATTTCTTCCATATTAGTGTCGGCGTGCCCGTGTACTGATCTACCATGGATGTAATACCCAAAACATTTGTGGGATAACAGAAACACTGATATCTATCAAAAGAGAAGGAGGAGCAATTAGCAACTCATCTGCAAAGCAATAAAAATTAAGTTTTTCTTAAAATTGCTTCCTTTCCCTGAAAATAATGAGCACTGAATTCTTGGAAAACATATAAAGAGGATAATAAGGTAATAAAGGATAATGAGGTTATTTACGAAAGTAGATGGAAAAGAAACTGAAGGCACTTCCACGGAAGGAAGAAACAGGGTTGATATATGAAAACCTTTCAGGGATTTTGGGCTGAGTCAACTATCTGGTAACAAGGAATTCATAATTAAGAAACTGCAAATAAAGAAGGAAAAATGAAGGCAGTAAATATTAGCCTGTAGCTCATTATAGCCGTCTCTGGAATTAACCACCAGTGGAAATTAGACTAAAAATCCAATCACAGCAAATCACTTTTAAAGCTTCTCTGAACATACTCATGACCTTTAAAAAGGGAAAAATAACAGTTGCAAGAGAAAGTCAGAAAGTACTTACATTACTCATGCAGCATAAATCAACAAACTGTCGAATTTTATCTTCTATAAATCTCTCATAAAAGACAACAAAGAACACGATCTGAAACATTAAGCCAAGTTCATGATTATTAGCTTTTAGGATTTAATTTGCTTTTATAGCCACAGTGTAGTATCTTAAGAAAAAAGTTCCAACCAAGAACACAGTGGCCAATAACGGTTCCTGTGGGATAAAATCCTACTTATCATTTCTGATTCTTCCATCAAAAGAATGTTTTGGAATGTGCTAAGATTCATTGAGGGGGCTTATTTTGAATTTAAAAACCTTTCCTGTGTCATTAAAATAAGACAGGACAAACACAGGGGGAGGAAGTAAGGGGCTTTAAAAACTGTAGGATAAACCAATGCATTAAATGGCCAGATCTACGTTTGGTTCTGTGGTTCTGCTTATCTCCTAAATTCCAAAATCCATTAGAAAAGCTGCTGTTTTTCAAATTAATCTTCTTTGATCAAGTAGCACTTGAAAAGCAGATGTTACGTATTCTGTTTCAGCTACAGATAAGGTGTTAAATATTCAAGTGGAATGGTTTCAAAGGTTTTCTTACATAGATTTAATAACAGTACTATAAAGGGAAGCTTTATAAATCAAAAGAGAAAAGTATACATTGTAGATCTTCTTAGATATGCTTCAGAGAAAGATAACATTTCCTTGCCACCCAGCGTAAAGCTGTCCCTGCTGTCCCCACTGCTAACTTCCACTCCCCTTCCCTCAACGTGCTCGCTATCTCATCTCCCCGCATCCACCCTGCAGAGCACTGGTCACAGTCTGTCCCTTCTTCTAGTTACCTCGTATCTGAGTTCAGTACAGAGCCTAGTACATAAGATGTTCTCAGATACGGGAGGGAATAAAGAAAGGAGTCTACAGCTGCTGAATGCTGAGAACACTTTCCTAAATATTCTGTGTACATATTTTAAAAACTCTTCTAAAGGACATGAAAAACAGTAACACTTGAAGTTTAAAAACTAAAGGCTACCACTTAAAAATTGAAGAAGCTGGGTTTAGAGAAATATAAGGAGTGAACAAGAAAGCCTAATATGAGAATCAAGAAGAGTTTGTAAAAACAGATAAACAACAAGTTTTTTCTGTATAGCAGAGGGAATTATATTCAGTATCTTGTAGTAACCCATGATGGAAAAGAATATAAAAATGAATATATGTATGACTGAAACACTATGCCATATAAAAAAAAAAGAAGAGTTTGTAGAGACAAATTTATGGGACTGTAACAGACTACAGGAACTCTTAAGGATACCTGAGGAACCAACACTGACAATCTGAGAATGTGACCGTGCAGAGAAATACTTCATCAAATGACAGAGTGAGAAACAAAGAACGAGGCTAGATGGTGACGCCCGAGATGGCCAGCTGTGTCCCAACAATCCTTCCCCCTTCTCCTTAGTGACAGGCCCCCCACCCCTTCTCTGAGAGGGAACACTGCTGCCCAGCTGAGAGATGCCAGTGCAGGAGGTGTGGCCATGTGACCAGGTTCTGGCAAAGGGGATGTGGAAGATACTTCTCAAAAGACTCGCAGAAGAGGAGAGGGTGAGCCGCATCGCACTCCCCCACTTGGCAGGCCCACCAATCTGCACGCAGGACCAGGCCTGGCCCCTTGGTCCCTGAGTTGGGGCCGCCCTTTCCCTGCGGGCCCCCTCCTGTCAGTCATGCCAGAGCATCTGGGCTCGCTGCCCACACAAGTGCATTACAGCGACCAGAGCTAGTTGATCAGACATTTCAGGGCATTATTCTTTTCTCTGCAATACTTGGATCCATCTGTGGGTATGTGGCTAAACAGCTCGGGTGGACTGTCTACAGGGTTAAGGCCAGATTTGCTTTTTTGTGTTTGCTGACACTTCCTCTATGGCTCATTATAGCCGGCACCCCCTCAAGCGGTCACCTGTTCAAGACTCCAGCACACAAGACAAGAAACCAGGGGAAAGAAAAATTAAGAGGCATGCTAACAGCAATTGACTGGGGTTTTCATGATTCAGCTTTAGTGCTGCCCCTGCTTTTGTTTCATGTGAGATGAGAAAAACTGTTTCATGTTTCGTACCTAAAACATCAGCTAAACACCACCTGTGCTAAGCTGTAGGTAGATTTTGTTCTCTTTATATTTTACTTCTCTTTGCTGGGTTTTGATTTATAAAAATTTTAGCCTTTCCCTTCATAATCTTCCTCCAAAATGGAGAACAGAAAATACAAGTGTGCAGTGTCTTGCGGGTCTACCAAATCATGAAGAATAATGCCTCATAAATGATAATATGACTTAACTATTAAAGTTTTGTAATTCATTATGCGTAGATAACCGTACACCAGAAAGTACCACAACACTGTACATCAACTATACTTCAATCAAAAAGAAAAACAAACAAACAAAAAATTCACAGTGGGAAAAAAAGAAGAGGAGAGGGGGGAGCCTTCTTCCCCGGCCGCCCCTGCAACTCCATCAGCCACTAAGGACTGTGAGGTGACCTCAGAGACGAAGTCCTGAGGGGCAGAGCAGAAACAAGCCTCTGGGCCTGACGGCAGCCCCCGTGCTGGCCTGCGCGGCCCCACACCGCTCTTCTCTCTCCTGTGGAGGGGAGACAACAGTCCCTCCATTTCAGCCACTGCTATTTGGCTCTTTGCTGTTGTTGAACTCAATCAAATATGAAAAGCTCCAGATGGTCTTCCTTTCAGTTCTCCACATCCAGGTAAATCTGATCTATCCACAAAAAGTTACATTGGTATGTGTACAAAATAAATATTTTCTTACTATTATACTGATGATAAACATCAAGCCCCACAGTACGGTGACAGCCAGTAGCCAGACTTATCACGGTGATCATTTTGAAACGTACAGAAACATCAAATCACTCTGCTGTGTTCCAGGAACTAATATCAAATCACTATGAAGGTCAGTTATACTCCAAAAAGATAGACAAATGAACAAACACTTAGAAAAAGCAATCAGTTTTCTGGTTACCAGAGGTGGATGCTGGAGGCAGAGGTGGGAGGAATTAGATGAAGGCAGTCTAAAGGCACACATTTCCAGTTATAAGATAAATAAGTACCAGAGATGTAATGCACAACATGATAAATATAACTAACTCTGCTGTATGTTATATGTGAAAGCTGTTAAGAGACTAAATCGTAAGAGTCCTCATCACAAGGTAAAAATATGTTTCTTTCTATTTCTTTAATTTTGTATCTATATGAGATGACAGATGTTCACTACACTTATCGTGGTAATCACTTCCCGGTGTTACACAAGTCAAACCATTATGCTGTACACCTTACACTTATACAGTGCTGCGTGTCAATTAGAGCTCAATAAAACTGGGAGAGAAAAAAAATCAAACCCCGTATCGTTTTAATCCTATCTTATTTCAAATTCTAATTTCTGTTTGTCTATCTTTCTGACTGTCAAAGTATCCCTCATTAGCTCTATCCTATAGCTTCAAGTTTGAACAAGTCTCACCAATCTAAAATAAATGCAAATTTAAAGTTCATTCTTAGGTTACAGGATGACACCTGGATTGAATTCTGTAGGAATTTCGGGATTTCAATCCCAAAAGATCTTTTAAAACAGGCTTTTAGGCAAATATTTGCTCGCCAGGTTACAGTAAGTTTTACCTGTTCTTTCTAGAGGTCTCATCTTCATTTGTTTATTTAAAAGTTAAAGAAATTTTAATCAAACTAAAAGGCTCTTTCCACTCATGGGAGTGTCTGTAAACAAGAGAAAGAAAATAGAAATGCAGATACTAGAGCTAAGCGCTTTAGCTGTTGCTTCTTTCTTTTCTTCCTTTCATTCTTTTTTTTAAACTTTAATAAGATAAGGGAAGCAAGCATAGAAAAGATCCTCTGCTAAAGCCATGGGACCTGAGAAGACATATTTTAGTTTCAGGTATTTCAATAAATATTTCCAAAAAAAATTCCAGAAGGAGCAACTGGCAATTTGAGTGAGATTTGATGATACATAAATAAATGTAAGCAAGTTGCATTTCAAAAAAGAAAAAAATATCAAGGGTGGCTTAGCAATTCCTAGCGTTACATATAAACTAAACAAGGAGCCCTTCCCATGACAGGAAAGCTGCAGACTCTGCGAGATCCTTCAGGCCCCACTGCTGATAAGAAATGAACTCTGGAATCAAATTCCAGTTCTGCCATTTTCTCACTGCATGACTTCAGGCAAATATTTAACCTTTCAATGCCTCAGCGTAAAATGAGGACACTAAAAGAACCTATCTCCGGGGGCTACTATAAACATTAAGTAAGTTGTAACACAGTTCTTTAACACAGAGCCTAGACTGTAACACTACGTAAGAATTAGCTATTAGCTAGTATTATTGTTGCTCTTGTTACCTTCTTTATGCTACAGAAATCAGGTTGTGGTCAATATTTGAGGATAACTGGCAGGTAAACAGAGTTGAAATATAGAGGGGTGACGCTGCTTGAAGTACAACCTGTTGTTACCTGCATAAGGGCAATGACTAGCCAAGCAGCAGCAGACACCGCGTATCTCAGAATACGGCTGTAAGGGGCTATGTAGCTAGACGGGCTTCTGGAGAGACTGGAGGATGAGTCCATTAATGCTAAGTTCTTGAATCCCACAACCTGAAATAAAAAGAAAAAAAAAACAATTTAAACAGACATGGATAAAGAAAACTCTAGTCTGAAAATGAAACACTACTCCCTACTCCTTACCTTGAAAAACTAAAATATACAAGTTTGTACAAATGGTAGAAAATCTAGATTAAAAATAATCATCCAGTATTTTAACTGCAAAGCATTCAATACAAATACTTAGCTATTTCATTTGGTATTCTCTTCAATACGACTAAAGGCCAAATGCAACCTTATTATTACACATACTGACAAAGCTCAAAAATTCCTGTCAAAAGAATAAAGCTTTCTTCAGTAAACTACCAATGAATAACCAGCACTTCATGAGTTTTTAACATATGCCAAGCCCTGCACAAAATACTTCTTATACTTTAAAACAGTATTTTCCAAAATGTCTTTTGAGGAAGATACATTCTTTGATAAAAGAAAGCCATGGTTAAATGAGTTTAGTCTGTATATCACACGCACCTCCATGCCTTCCACCCTCGTAGGATAAAAGCTCTGGGAAGTTTTACGGCAAAGGAAGCCACACAACTTCACTGAATCAAGTGTTTTCCAAACTTAACCTGACTAAACAACTTTCTTCTCATGCAGCACCTTTTAAAGCTTTAAGCAGCTAATTCTTGAGAAAACCTGTTACTCATATATTTCCTGTATTTCAGTCTCATATGCAGTACTGAATACTTCCTCTGATAATTCTACCCAGATCCATGAAATAACTGTAAAGGGATCATCAGCATGTACCCATTCAGTGTCTCTTGTCCAGCTGGCGCCCCAGCTCTTGACACAGAACACAGTTCATGGTAGGTGTTCAATGATAATTTGTTAGAAAATTCCAACCTTTTATTGGTGGGTCTAATACAGGAGTGAGAGTATGTATGAATCATGAGAGGGGGTCCTTCCTGAAACACAGATACCTGGGCTCACCTCAGGGCCACCGAATCAAACCTAACCTCTAGGTGTGAGGTGCGGGGAGGCATAGGTATTTTGCAAAAGCTCCCCAGGGGAGTCTGCTACAAACCAGTGGTTCAAAAGCCACTCCTTACCTAGAGTAGTCAAATTTAAAGAGACAGAAAGTAGAATGGTGGTCGCCAGGGGCTGTGGAGAGGGGAGGAGAGGGACTTGCTGTTTAATGGGCAAACAGTTTCAGTTTTGTAAGATGGAAAGAGTTCTGGGGATTGGCTGCACAACAATGGGAATGTACTTAACAGCGCTGAACTGCACGCTTCAAAATGGTTAAGATGGTAAATTTCACGTTATGTGTATTTTTTAACGGCTTGATAACCATATGTTAACTTTTAGAGAACTCTTCCACTGATATGAAAACTCAGCTGGAATTATATTAAATGACCATGTAAGAGATACTCATAAGTTGCATACAATTACATCGGTTTATACCTCCAAAAAGAAGAGGACAGTAAGTACTTGAAAGAGTGGGTTAATCTTTCTCACAGTCTGAATTTCGTTCCATTCATTTGCTACAAAATATGTTCTCCATATGCTGACAGGAACGGTAGCACTCCGGACGCCACCCTCACCTGGTTGGGGAGACAAAGTGAGTAAAACAGTTTCACCTTCTCTGCTCTACAAGGGTGGCAAAAGACTCTTGGTACAAACGGTTATTTGCATTACCTTCAACAGCTTTAAGAACCTTTCCTTTGGGCCGCTCCCAATCGATAAAGAATATGTCTATGGTAATCTGGGAGATGAGCTTATGCAAAAATTGCAGAGCCTGAGAATGACAAGCAAAACACCTGAAAGTATCTGCATCAAGCCTGCTTATGAAATCAACACTGACTCTTTAAGAAACAAACATACTGTGATCACAAGAATGTGTAACTTTCACAAGTGATGAAGGTGCACAGCATGAGGGGAGCACCAGAAGTAACACGGAATCATCACATTCACAGAATGTTTACACACACATTAATCCGCCTTCCCTTCTGCCTCTCATCAAAATAGGGATACGAAAGGGGACGTACCACCTCCTCCTCACACAGGGATCTTGCATAACTGACTCTTCCTCAAGGTTCCCCAAAGTGTATTTCGTTCTCTAGATCAAGCAACTTCTTTATAAGTAAAGGCATTTTCAACTGTAATTTGCTTATACTAATTAAAGTTTTAAAATGCTCTCACTTTTTTCCCCTCTATTTCTGGCACTGAGATTTCAGATTAAAAAAATATTTTTCATTTACAGAATATGTTTAAATGAAGGCATCTTCCTAGTAGGTGCATTATTGCTCAAACAAAGGATAAAAATCTAAGTATGGGGTGATGCCTGTCTTCATGGAGCTCACAATCAGTGGGAACAGCAGACCCTTAATAACCCAACAAGTGGGATGAGACCTACCCCAGAGGCATGTAAAGAGCTTCCCGTCCACGCAGAGGACAATGAAGCAGGGGGCGGGGCTGCCACAGGACGAGGGGGAAAGGAACATGGAGGCAGAGGGAACAAATGTTAAGAGTTCAGCACTTTATCCACTTTAATTGGTTCCTTTTACTCTCAATTAACAGATTAAATTAAAAATTATTTAAGGTGGATTTTTAGAATGAGATGTCTCTCACAAATAAAAGGAGACTTCCTAGTAAAATAGAATAATTAATGCATTCCTCCAAAATTAAACTAAATTGTACACCGAAGAATTTGAAAGCAATGTCATTTTAAAGACTTACACGTTTATTAGCAGGTCTTTTAAATTCAGTAACCTGTGCTCTGAAACTTACCTTCAGAGCAAAAGCACATCCCACGAAAGTAACAAAACGTTCTTCCTGGGCCGGCACTGGTAGCAAAACAGAGACAGACTTCTGTGCCTGTGATAAAAGTATGCCCTTAAATATGACAACACGAGGTGTTAACTAAACACAATGTGTTAACTGAAAGAAAGCATAAAAGAAGGTGGTGATGCACTCAGTCAACACAGCACACTCAGAGAATGGCGAGTTTAGGACTTGCCTCAACGTTCTTGATCAGAAATACCGTCAATAAAAGCAGTTCCTTTATAAAGACCGCTGACCAGTCACTCAGGTATTGGCATTTAGGCTGAATTCAGAAGTCACTTACTTTGAAGAAAATAAGCCAGTAAAGACCTGTCCCCACGGTGATGATAAAGAAAACATTGGCCAGGTCGCCAGCATAGTACACCAAGAACTTCACAACTGTCTGCAATTTAAAGAGAGAATTAAGCTGTTACAGACTCAGTCTATTTATACTATTACTTTAAAAAACACTGTCTGCTCAGTTTCTCAAGCTTGAAGCCTTCGTTCACGTGTCCGTGGATCAGCAAGAAAGACCAGCTGCGGCCACTTCCCAGGTGTCTTTTGGGTCCTAACGTTTTGATTTATTCTCAACAGCCTGTCTTCTTCAACACTTTTCATCTTTCACCATCCAAGAAATTCAGAACTGCTTCCTGCTTCCTAATTCTCTTCTAGTCCGGACCCCTTCTCCTCAGGCTATCCTCCATACTACCACCAGAGCTGGCTCTCTAAGATGTAAATTAAACTGTGTCCCTCTCCTTCTTGAATATGTAGTTGACTCCTCACTAAAGTATAGACTCCTGACCCACAAGGCCCCTCACAACCTAGACCAAAATTAAATTTTCAGCCTCATGTGCCAGTTCCAACCACTCACTGAATAATTAACCACTCCACACTTTCATCCCAAATGTTTTGGGGAATGAAATGGGCATTGTTTCATCAAATACTCTTCCCTTCTCTCTGGCAAACTCTCGGGAGCTCTGAGGGCAGAGACCACGCCTGCCTTTGCTCAGCAACACCCCCCCCCCACCCGGCAGAGGGCCCGGCGCTCGGGGAGCAGCCCTCAGGGACTGTTTGTGGAGCGCAGATAACCCGCTTACAGTCCACTCCTCTGGGAAGCCTCTCCTGACTCTGCTGAACAGTGACTCGAGCCCTGCTCCTCTTGGCACACTGGCTTTGGAGTCAGGAAGACATTCCAGCCAAATAAGTTCATCACATTGCCTTTCTCACGTTCTTAATCAGCTAAATAGAAATACCACCTAAGACTTAGTTGCTATAAAAATGAAATGAATAGGAAATTTTTTTAACCTCTGCCACAATTTCATCATGTATAAAATGAGAGTGATAATAACACCTAATTTCACAGAGCTATTGTGGGGACTAAATGAATTTTACATGTAAAGTTTAGAAAGCTTTTAAGCTTTTATCTAAATGACAGATAAAAATAAAAGAAAAACAAAAATATAAAAACAGATTAAATGAAGTGAAACTATGAAGTTAATAGAATAAAACATGGGAGAATTTCTTTCTGATCTTGAGATAGGGGAGGCTTTCCCGAACAAATCCTAAAAGCACACGCCGTAATAGGAAAGCCTATTCAGATGTGACAGCATCAAAACCAAGAGCTTCTGTTAAACAAAGGAACACACAGATAAAATAACAGGTGGGTCACCCTCGGAGAGGAAACTTCAACGTCAAAAACCAAAAGGGGATTCGTATTGAGAAAATAAAAAGAACTCCTTTAAATAAATAAAATACAAAAAATTTGCTTAAATAAACAAGAAAAACTGGAAACTTAACAGAAAAGTGGGCAAAGAATATAAAGAGGAAGTTCACAGAAGGGGAAACATGATTAATAAAGCATAGGAAGAGTAATCAGAGAAATAAAAATTAAATCAACAGTCACACCACTCTTCCCACCAGATTGGCAAAAATGGAAAGGCTGGGAGGACAGCAAGCGCTGGCGAGGACGTGGGGAAATAAGACCAGCACTGCTGTGGTGCGGACTGGCCCACAGCAGTGTGGGGGCGAGCACACCCCTCTCCTAGTTGCACGCCCCAGAGAACCCAAGGCAACTTTTTACTCACCCTCTGGTTGTGTCTTATTACAAGGATATAAAACAATCAAAAGACAAAAATATACTTAAAAAATTCCTGAGATCATACCTGCAAATCAATCATGGGACTGCCAACGCGCCTCTTCCACCCCGCTGTCTTCAAAAGAGATGATAAAACCGCTAGTCCACCCAACACACCCAAAGCAATCTAAAGGGAACAAAGAACATTTTGGAGTTCATGTTAATTTCCCTCATCAGTGTTCAGATACTGTAAACAGAAAGGAAATACTCAAAAAACGGTGGTGGAAGGCATGCTAAAAGGACATAGAAGCCAAACTGAAGGAGCTCCCAATGGCCAAATCTGGGAAAATTTGCGCAAGAAAGTAGATAGTAATGAATCAAAATTGCTAGGATAAATAAATATTCATGATTTAAATAAACAATTGAATAAATAAACCAATGTGGACAAAGGGATAGCTCCTCCTTACAGTTAACAAACGTAGAAGAAATGACAGAAATACAAAATCACCATCAGACAAATATCACCATAGTACTTTTTATCAGCAAGAATTATCAATGGATGCTTTCTAATTAGAGGGCAAAAGAATAACGAGAAGTAGGATGCATAATCTCAAGTAACTTCCCACAATAAACTTAGTAATTGTAAGTGGAAAAATACAGTGGACAACTCTGCACACACCATCTTAGCCACATGATCAAAGGTGACATCAGCGTTACTAAGTCATGCTGACACCAAGTATCTTCTAATATGAGTCACTGAGAAAGGGACCACATCTTTCCTGTGGCATTTGTGCTAAAACCACATCTAATCATGGGAAAGTATCAGATAACCCCAACTGAGGGCCAAAATACTAGAGTTAGAGTCAGTCGTGAAAGACATAGAACGACTGAGGAACTGTCACAGATCTAAGGGGACCAGAAGCCATCTGCGACCCTGGATTGGGTCCTGAAACAGAAAAAGGACGGTGAAAACTCTGTAAAACCCAAAGAGTGTTCAGATTAGTTCTAGGAGGACATGACTATTAATTCCCTGATTATCATCACTGTTCTACGGTCATGTAAGACGTTCACGTTAGGGAAGGCTGGCTGATGGATATATAGCAAATCTCTTTTATTTCGACAACTTCCCTGTACATGTAAAACTTTTTTTTTAAAAAAATTAAAAAATATACTGTAAATATTAACAGGTCAAAATAAACTCACATCTGTCTGGACGTGTGCTTCACCTTGATCCATTTCATATCTGACTGAGAAAGAAACCTGATATTTGAAAGAAAGCAAATTAGCCATAATGAAATTAAATGACACAAACCTACTTTTACTATAAGAATACATTTGTAGCTGGATTTTATGATAAATGCCATACTTTTAAATTATCAGTATTACTAGAGTTGACCTTTATTTATACATAAATGGATACACTTTGGGGAATTATTCATGTTGCTTTAAACGTCCCTTTGAACACATATTAAAGAAAGAGGGGTTCATCAGGAGCTAGGTTAGGTTAGCTAGGTTAACAGCAGTCAAGCCAAACCAATCATACATCTTTTTCTGATAGGTTTCTGTAACTGAAGAATGTGACTGATATTATGTACCAAGAATTAGCAAATGGGTAAACAGTCACACCTTACGGAGGCAGAGTAACAACAGTTTTAGGGACACGACTGTATTGAGACAGGAGGAAGAGAAACCAGTAAAGGGTTAAGAGAAGCAGGGGCATGAGATGTAGGAGAGGAAAGACACCTAAGTCTTCCCAAGGTCACAGAACAGGGGGTTTTAAGAAGCACGAGGTCAACAGTGTAGTCAAATGTTGTACAGCTCAACCCCTTAAATAACTCAGGGGTTTGGGGTGCTGAGCCCCAGGAGCTGAAAATCCAGACAGAACTTTACAGTTGGCTCTCCACATCTGTGATTCAACCAACTTCGCACAGCGCTGCGGAATGTATTTAGTTAAAAAATCCACGTCTAAGCGGACCAGTGCTGCTCAAACCCGTGTTGTTCCAGAGTCAACTGTGTAAATGTCAAGTTAAAGAAATAAAGCCAGTGAATGTGGAATTCATTGCTGAAGTCATGAAAGAGGTTTTCAGGGAAGCAAAATGGCAAGAGCCAGACTGCAAATGATGGAAGAGGAGATGGCTGGGAAGTCAAGGCAAGACGCAGGACAGCAAGCGGAAGAGCTGGCAGAACTGAGGGGAGATTTTATTGTTTGGTTGTTTTCGCTCGTTTTTAAGATGGGACAACCCGAAGGGCGTTATAAGCAAAGGAAGGGGCCGGCAGAGAAGCTGCCTGAAGAGCGGGTTGGGGGTGAGACAGGATATTGGAGAAGTACCCTCAGTAAGTACAGGCTGAAGATTCGCTTAACAAAGGGTGAGGGGTCCTTATTTCTTAGAAATAAGAACAAGAGCCGGAAGAGATAAGGAACACAGGTCCTGAAGTATTAAAGGGAAATCTGAGGGAATTCATACTGGATGGTTTTGAGCTGCTCAGCACAATAGGAAAGGCAGGTTATTTGTGACTGGTAGAGAGCAGAGATAGAGCTGGATGCTTAAAATTAATATAGAGCTTTTGCAATAGCTGTCATGAGAAATTAAGAAATGGTAAAAGAACTGTACATTCTGCAACTAGAATGAATTTGAGGTGGGCTTCATCTGTATAGTTTTATGATTCAACTCTTTTTCTATCATTTTCCAATTCGTCAAGACTTTTAGTTTGGAATATTTTGGACAAGAAAAATATTTAAAGAGTTCACCCAGAAGTGTTTTATATTAAAATAAATATACCCTTGGTTACTCAAGAACGATCATTTCAAGAATATTTAAACCAGGCAGTCTTCTGTTGTTACTAAATGTGTTTCTGGATTTTCTTCTCTCACTACAGAGGATACAAGTTCAGGCAACAGGAACTAACTTTAACATCAATCCAGGCAATACAAATGAGGATGCGAAATCTTTCAGGGAAAAATTACGTTATGTGACATTTTCTGCTTAACGAAAGCCAGAATCCAACAGTAGCTGAATACAAGTCCAAGGAGAATAGAGAGGCCAAAGCACTGGCTGAAGAACCAGAACAGCAAAATTCAGAAAAGTAAAGTAGAAATTAAAAGCTATTAGTGAGTCTTGGAGGTAAGTGAGGAACACTGACTCTGGCAATTCTCATGTTTCTGGGGAGAGAAGGGAGCAAGGAAAAAGCATAGGAGGATTAGCCCTGGTTTTATCTTAAGCCTCTCATTTACCCCTCCTCAAAGCAGGATGCTTCAGCTGCCTGGGGGGGCCGTCTGTGAATGGTTCAGCCTTTCCCAGGTTCATTCTTTTTGGTGTAGCCTGTTTTCAGCATGTATATGGTCCTGCTTCCATATACAGGCCCTTCCAGGCAGAGGAGGACTTCAGTTTCGTGGTTCAGTTTAGTTGAGTCGGGGAAACAGTCAGAAGACTAATTAGCTGCAGGTCCAAACCATGTTCTCTAGCTCCTTTAGCGCTATTAGTTATAAAGCTTATAGTAATCTGCCTGTTGAAGTGTGTCTCCATCAAGTGGGCAAGGCGGGCGAGAAGACGGACACTCATGCCCACTTAGTTGGAGTTCCTGTTTAGTTGGGCAAGGAGACAAAAGCTTAACAGAAGGCAGATGACCACAGAGGAGGGGAACAGACACTGCATGACTCACTGCACCCCAGGGTCCTGAACAGGGATGCCCAGGCGCTGGTGGCACTGTCTACTCCAACACTTCATTCTTGTTTTTTTACACTCAGAATCCGTAAGAACTCACCTCTTACCATTGTTGGTTAAAAAAAAAAAATTAAGTCCTGACTACATAAAGTGCAGTGTTTATTTAAAACTTTAAAAAGGACTAATTGTCCTTTGACCATAACGCAAACTGTATCAGTATTATATGAACACACAGAGGGGCACTGATCAGGGCGGGACTCACCTCCACAGACTGGCTGGTGGGGTCTCTGACGTCAACGTCACTATAGGCAATGGTAATTAGGGGAGGGTAGATGTTTCCATTCTTTGTGTTGGGTACAAGGTGGATGCTGTTGAAAAGAAAATTCATTTCTAGTTATAAATACATCTAGGCCCTTAAACAGACATTAAACTCATCGTTTTTTTCTGAATTTGATATGGATAGTCTTGGTGATCCAGAACCAACCGGTTACTAAAAACCAGGGAAGGTCAGACATAAACCAATGGTAACAAGGCAGGCTATCTGAAGTGGTCAAAATTTTGTATTAAAATATATCCTTTGAGACAAATTAGAAACTTTTCTTTTTCTAGATCCTATGAAGTTTACAAATGAAGTCACTGAAGTAATGTGAACCACTTTTGGGGACTACTCAAAAGAGGTGTTACATGAAGCCTAGAGAAAGACAAATACTAGCCTGGTTTTCAAAAAAGGTGAATTCTTAACAAAATAAGATGTGCCATATCTAGTACTGCTTACAGCACATAGTGGGGTACATTTTGCTGAATTCAATGCATTAGTAATGTACACTTTGTCAGCTCACAAAGGGCAAGTGCCAAGCCCAGTGGCCAGCATGGTTTCAGCAAGATCAGGTCAGGCCTGATTAGTTTCAATTTTGTTTTCACTAGGGTTAGATGCTACATTAGAAGACTGAGGGGATGCTGAAAACAGTACTGTTGGATTTCAGCAAGGTATGTGACAAGGCTTCTGTCTACTGCCTATCTCAAAAGATTATTATGAAAATCAAAACGAAAAGACAGTGAAAAAATAACGCCTGTTTGAGCACCAGAAAGATGATGGTGTTGACTTGCATCAGTGTATTCAAGGGGCACATCATAAAATACTGGAGTGGGAACACCAATGAAGGTCTTAGAGACAGGATTCTCATACTGCAAAAGACACACGAGGGCTGCCGGGCCCTAAGGTAGGGTCATCAGTAAGTGTCCTGGAAGAGGGAGGCGTTGGTAACAGACGAGGGCCAACACGGAAGAGCAGCTGTTAAAGGCGAGGAAGCCAGAGGAGGCCTGCCTGCTGCGATGGCCCAGCTGGCTCTTTCTAACACACCCATTACAGCCCAAGATCTCCCCCTTCCATCTCCACCGTTCTAATTCAGCAGGTCTAGAGTGGGGCCTAAATGTGAATTTTGGCAAAACTCCTCGAGCTCTTCTGACATAACTCTCCCCTCAGCTCCTCCCCTCTAGTAACATACACCAACCTACACGGACAGCTAAGGACACAGTGTATCAGCCCAGTTCGGGGGCTCTTACTGTTTTCATCTGATGATTACTCGTAAACACTTTTACTACAACATTTTCCCACATACTCCAAGCCTCATTTGGTACACCTGGATGTCTGTTTACCTCAGTGATATTTGGGTAGCAACTCGAACTAATCTTGGCTGACTTTCTAAGTCATTTTCTCGTCCACTTAGTGCGTCCACCAAGAAAATGCGCCGAGTCAGAAGCCACTTGCCAGAGCTACTGTCTTTTATCATTAAAAAAAAAAAAAAGATGGTATTTAAAAAAATACCTTCAATTGTTCAAGATGGCTCTCAAGAAGTTTACTGAACAAATTTAAAACATAAAATTAGTACATTTTGTTTTAGGTAAAATGGTTCCAAAAACAGCTACTGCTGTAAGAAATACCTGGCAATAGCCTCCCCCACCTCACTTGAATGTCTTCTGATTGTTTGGACTTACCAGTTTGGAAGGATTTTCCTGGCAAATTATCTAAATAAAAGGATTTTACAAGAAACACCAAAAATAATAAGACGCTAATTTGTCCAAAAAGCAGCTCAAGGACAGCTTTAAGAAGCCCCGATTTGACAGTTCTACTAATTTTTCTCACAATACATTTTTAGCAATCATACAATTTCTTAACTATAAGTCTGACACATTCAGCAAAAATTTCTAAATATGACAGCAACCTTACTGTTTTACTTTTTGGCATGCTATATAAAACCTTATAACCTATGGCTTATTAAATTATTATGTTGGTTGACTTATTTATTGGTTTCACCTCAGAGCAAGAGTAGTGTGAATGGATGTCTTACCTTGGTTCACAAATATTTTATTGTGCTGAAGGTTTAAGTTTAACACAGGCACGGCCCAAATATATCGGTGTTGATTTTCACCAGTATATTCAAGGTACACATCATAAAATACAGGGGTGGGAAAGTCAGTTAAGAGCTTAGAGATAGGAATCTCACACTGAAAAGTAAATAAATAAATAAATAAATAAATAAATAAATAAATAAATAAAAAAGTATCCCAATTGAAAATGTAAAGATTTAAGAGTGTTTTTAATTATAAAATATCTTCAAGCTATCTTGTTTATATGCATTTCCATGTGCCTTTCAAAACACGCATACTATAAATATGATCTGTTTATAAGGGGAAAAAAACCCAGCAGTAAAGAACCGCTTGGGTCTTGTCCTGCAACCCAGCTGGAGAGGGGATGCATTCATTCTCAACAGTAAGTACAACACAGTGAAGAGGTTTAAAAACGCTTATCCTACAGGCTGAGGCCCTAATTCTTCCTCGTGGGGGGCAGCACCGTTTATGATATCGCTCCCCTTAACAGAGCTGGGCTTGTCTCCCACTGCGTCCTGCCTGTCTCTGGCCCTTTCACACTCACCTGCTTGCAGTCTGTAAACATGCTCTGCTACTGCATCTGTCTCTCTGACACTGCAAATGTTGCTTCTGCCTGACCTTCCCCTTCGCCACTGTGCTTGCCTGGCAAACTCACATTCACTGTACAAGCCCAGGTATCACTCTGTGAAGCCCTTCTGTGTTCCCCCACGAACTGCTGATGACCCTTCTTTGTACCAACATGGTACCTTGTTCACACCTACAGAGCAACACATCACATTCTTTGCAATCTTTTGTGTTACATGGTTGTTTTCTCTACTAGGCTGTGAACTATTTGAGAGGCAACCAGAGGAAAAACTATGGTTTTTAAGCCTAATTGAACATTTACTTGATGCAAGACCTTGAGTAAGTTACATAATCTTACTGAGCACCATTTTTTAATCTGTAAAACACAAATAATATGTATTTCACATAAGTTATTTCATGGATCAGATGAGATAAAAATGATAAAATGCTGAGCACACGGCAGTGGACATTTAACAAGTGTTGATTCTCCTGGCCCAAGGTAGACACACAATAACATTTTTTTTAATAATGCATAAGACAATTCTGATAATAAAAGAAAATTCACATTCATGATAGAAAATTTGGAAAAAAAAAAGAAAATGCATGCAATCCCACTAGCCAGAGATACACACAGTTACAAATGTTTATCCTCCAATCTGTTTTCCATGATGGTCTTTTTCATTGTGGTTTTAACAAAACTGGGATCACAGAAAAATTTGTTCTGTGCTGTGTGTACATGCATTTTATCAATAAGTATTTTTGTAGACTAGCGAATTTCTTTCAAATGTTTAATGACTCATAGTATTCCTTTGTACCATACTATAGTTTTAATATGCCTTAACGAAGGAAGGAAGGTCAGGGAGAGAGGGAGGGAAGTATGGAGGGAGAGAAAAGGAAGCATTACAATTTGTTACTGGAGGGTAGAGGGAGCAGGCAGTAAAGGCACTTCATTAGTCACTAAAAATAAAGTAATATTTTTACCTTATTCTAAAATGCTCAGAGGTAGACATTATTTTTAAGATCTATATGCCCAGAAGCAAACAGTTGATTATAATATTTAAAACTCTATAGATGACAAGATACTTTTTTCATGCTGATTAAATTAATAAGAATTCTATCAGTGAAATTACTCATTACTACAAAAGGTTTCCAATTGCAAAAATTCAAAGGTTATTCCAATTATTGCTGATGTGAAAAGTGAGGCTAAAACGCAGACTGTCTAAAATAGCTCAGACTTACACTCTGCTGATAGGTTGTTCCAAAAGAATACGCAGCATTGAGTCTGGTCTCTGTGTCGGGACAAAGCTACGGCAAAAGAACACAACCAGTAAGGATCTCACACGCGTCGTCTTTGCTCATAGTCAAGCGTTCTCAACTCCCAACATGGACACACGCTGTTTATAATAATTCTTTAATGTCTCAAGGGTATGAAAAGTTACGGGAGCAGCTTTAAGTCACAACAGTTTTAAGAAATTCTAACTTAAAGCACAAAAAGAAAACAACTCTAGCAAGCGACTGATGCTCTATTCAAGCGATGATCCAGTCTTGGCCTCACCTCTGCCTCAGTCAAAGGTAAGGCAAGCTAGTCATTCTCTAGTTAGAACCACACTCACCTGCAAAACACCTCCTTCTAAAGTTTGCCACTTGAGAAAGTTTCCTCTTACATCATAGGAGGCAGCAACAAACTTCAGTTTTGTGTTCTGATGAAAGGAAAGCAAGAATGAAGCGATCCCATGTGCTGAGAGTCTACCAACACTTTAATGTACTCTATAGAATAGTCTGTAACAACCTGCAGAGGACAGACCTCCAGAGTGTACAGCTAGTCTACCACAATGTTTTCCTTGTTGATCGACCTTTCTTTTTCTGGAGATCATATACTGAATTTAACTAACTCTACTTGGTAGCAAAATTAATCTAAGTATCTCTCAGATTAAACACACCTAACTAAATGGACTGGATTTTTGCACAAAAGCTATTATTTCAGAATTGAGAGGCAGTGCTAGTGACAGATAACCTCCTCTCAAACCTGGCTACTGTGTGTGCGTGTGGACAGAGCTGAGCAGGGGAGTGAATAATCTGTTCTTTCATTGTAAAATGGCAAAAAGTTGAAGGTCAGAATTTGGACCTGTGAAGTCCTGAGGAAAGGCATAGAATCCCAGTCAGTCTTTGGAAGCCCTTCTTAAAAATGCAGAGATACGGGACAGGACTGCTGTGCATCCGCTGATGGGAACCAGCCCTCCCCGCCCCACAGGTGTACTACTTGCTGCCACAGCCAGAACCCAGAGGTTTTCGCGTACTCAGGTACGACAGCTAACCTCTACAGTGTTCAGTTCCTCAGCAGCTGATTTAATTTAGTAATTAAAAAATTTAAAAACCAGTAATTATGACTAGTAACATTCTTGTTAGCTTTTTAATTAAAAAAAATCTTTTTGATTTACAATGTTGTGCTAATTTCCAGTGTAAGAACAGAGTGATTCAGTTATACATATATATATATATATTCGTGTTACGCTTTAAAATTATAAATCAAAATGTAGTTTTCTTTCGGTAATACAGTGACTTGTACCTGGTTTTGCCCTTTAAAACTGAAATTTGTAGGAAGAGGTGTAGTACTGAGTACTTGAGGTGCTAATCCCAGCTGGTCTCCATAGAACAGCCATGGAAGATTCTGTCTCCTATAAACAATTACGATTGTTTAATAATGGTGAACAGTTCTTAGTATGTATTTGTGAAAGTAATTGCACTGAATTAGGTCAAAATGACGGTTCTGCAATTAGACTACCCTTACCAAAATGAAAAAGAATGAACAGTGCGCAGTCCAGCAGTGTTTTCAAAGATAAACTGAAACAGTCGACATGCATCAAAAGTGGAAGAATCGTAAGAATTCATGTTCATCACACACATATTTCCGAGAGCTTGGCAAGATGTTAGGTTGGCATAAACCTACAAGAGAACAATGGCAAAGAAACAGAACGTGGACTTTAATACCCTAAGCAAAATGTGATAGAAAAACGACGCTTGGTTTTAACTTGACCTATTCTATGAATTCTCTTTGGGGGTATTCCTGTGCTCTGATGTAAATAGAAAAGAACTTTCCACATGTGTATGACTTTAATTGTAAATTTTATGTGAGAATATAAAGACAAACAATTGAAAGAAGACTAAAAACCTAGGGCATGACTTTAAAAAACTATTAAGTGGAATAATTATATTTGAAAAGAATAATAATTTGTTCCTATAGTAGAGATTTTATATATATATAACTCTAATCAATTTTGTTTAAGTAATTAGTTTTATGAACAACAAAATAAGAGCATTTGTTGAGTTTGCCCCTCAAACTTCTTTTCCAGTTTTTGCTATAAGGAAAAGGCCACTCTGTTTTTACAGTTATTCAAATAAAAAACATTGCAGTAATCATCTTTCGCTCCCTTCCCATATCAAAGTCATCAGTACGCCCTGTTGGCTCAATCTTCAAAGCATATTCAGAAGCTAAACACATCTCTCATTTCCATGGCACCACCCTTGTCTACGGGTCCACTTTTTCCCACTCGGATTACTCTAATACTCTCCTAACAAATGGTCCCCCTGCCTCCATCCTTGCCCCAACAAAATCTACTCTCCATGTCAGAGTGATCCTTTCAAAACCTGAAGCTCGACCACGTCCTCCTTTGCACAAAATCTGTCCACATCCCTTACCGTAAACTCCAGGTCCTTGTCGCAGTCATCCCCCTCATCCCTGGACTCACCTTGCACCTGCCCTGCTCACTCTGCTCTAGCCACTCTGGCCTCCCTCCGGTTTCCTAAGCACGAGCATGCCAGAGAACCCCTGCTTCGAGACCTCTGCACTTGCTGCGGTATCTGCTTAGAATACTCTTTCCCCAAATATTTACATGGCTCACTTCCACTTCTGAAGGTCTTTGCTCAGATGCCACCCTCTCAGAGTGGCCTGTCCTGACCGCCCTCTATAAACCTGCACTGCCTTCCGCTCTCCATGCTCTTTATTCTGATTTGTCTTCAGAGCACTTAGCACCACCTGACATTTACTTAGAATATAATTCCACAAGAGATTTTTCTTTGTCTTTTCCTGAAAAAGGTAACTTGATTTGGGAACAGGGCCTGGCACATCGTAGATCATCAATAAACACTTACTAAAATGACAGTATGAATCAGTTTTCCCTGACACTCAATCTCAGCTGAGTAAGTCTGGACACGTTCAATCTGTGTAAAATGAAATGTGAAATGAATAACGTTTTCTTTAGTATTCTCTTTTAGTCCACTAGAAAGGGTTTGATTTTCTTATAGCATAAGACCAAGGAGATAGCTCTACATAGAAAAGTTTTATTAGCTGGGGGAAAAATTGTAGGACAATTCTTCAAAATGAAATGAAATAGAATTATTTTCTCAAAATTCAAACATACCCAACAAGCAGCTGCTGATGACTGCAAATACTTTGCAAACCATTCTGAGGTGAAAGACACGCCCTGGAAACAAAAAGATGAATTTTAGTTTTAAGCTCAAATAGAAATTCTTAAACTTTACACTGTTAAGAAAACATTAATATGCATATTGTTGAATGGGAAGAAACATTACTCTCTCAGTGTTATCAGAAAAATAGATTCTAAAGGGAATATAAGAATTAATTCTAATCAATGTCAGTAACTACAAATAGGACTACATTACAAAGTCACATCATTCAGGCAAAAGATACAAGGAAACAAAGTATATCTAAAATACAAAAAACTATTTGTTCATTTCACTCAAACAAAAAACCAAAAATCAAAGTGGCAAAAAAAAAAAAAAGAAGAAAAACTAGATCCTGACTTAGCACTGGTTAACATTTGCTGATTTAGGGTTACTATACTTTATTAAATTGGCAAGTAATAAAAAAGGAATATTTGTGAATTATTTTTAAGCAACAGGAGACTGGGGATACACAGAATAATTAACATTTAAAATCCTCAAAGTGGTGATTCTCAAACAATGATGGGTGTCAGAATCAACTGTGGAATTTCCTAAATACAGAAAATGTCTGGCTTTATTCCAAACCAAGTGAATCAGAATCTCCAGGATGAGACCAAGGCAAACATGTGCTTTAAAAGCTGCAGACACAAGCCTCTGGCTAAGAACCACTGCTGTAAGGCTTATTTGCATATCCTGCTAAAAAAATGAGGCATTGTGGAGCACCATTCAGAGTGAAATTCTCTGGATACAGACAAAGGAAATAAATCCAAATTTATATGAAATGTGGCACCACAGCTGTCAAGGAAATCCAAAATAAAATTATGAACCACTATTTTCATTTCTTTCATGAGCAAAAATGTTCATTTTGTAAGAAATATACATATGCATAGACAGCTGAATAACACACCAAAAAACTAATAAAAATGGAAAGCAATGACACCAGTGTGGTAAACAAAAGCAAAATGAAGCCACAGACAATGCCAGTGACAGTGTTAAAGTTGCATGATCCTTTATAAAACAACATCCACAACTTTAACCCAGGAATTTGAAAATGCTTAGGAAATCTGTCTTAAGGCAATTACCTCCCCAAAAGGAAAAATACATCTGTGGTTGACAGAAGTACTATCATTTTGGGGTGGGGGGGTAATTAGATTCATTTATTTATTTTTAGAGGAGGTACTGGGGATTGAACCCAGGACCTTGTGCATGCTAAGCATGCGCTATACCACTTGAGCTATACCCTCCCTGCATTGATAGCAATACTATTGATAACAGAAAATCTAAATATTCAATGGATGTACAATTATATAAGCTTCAGTGAATAAACTAGTATATTATGTGACTATTTAAAAGTTATAATTTACATAGTCTCAAAGTAAAATCTCAGCCTAACTTATTAGTCATGGTACCTTCACAATGGAGAGAAGTGGCAGACAGCACCATGACCAGGCAATCATATTTAGTATCACCAATAACTGGACATCCTGACATTATGTGCTCCTTGTTAAGATGCAATGGGCTGTACACAACACCTATATCATATTCTTGCAAAAAGATGTTTCACTGAGTCTAGCCATGAGAAACAATGAGAAAAATCCAGATTGTGGGCCACTACAAGGAAGCTGGCCTCAACTATGCAAAAGTCAATGCCATAAAAGCCAAAAAAGCAAAAACAGAAAAACCACAAAAGCAAAACAGAGTAAGGGCCTCTGTTTTAAACTAAAGGAGACTAAAAGATTAGTTGCAGTGTGTGAGTAGTCAAGATTGAACTGTATGTTTACAACTTACTTTCAAGTGGCTCAGAAAAAAAAAATTAGTGTGCATGTGTGTGTATGTATGCATTTACGTATGCAGACCGAAATACAGCAAATGTGGCCAAACATTAATGACTGCTTAACCCAGTAAAATACAGACACACAGTCATTGTCTTACTTTTCCAACTTTTCTGCAACTTTGAAAATTTTCCAAATTTAAAGTTGGGAAAAATAAAAAAGATGTGAGATCATAATCTTTAGGGAAAGGGAATGGGAAGACACTGACCCGTATATCTAGAAATTCTTTATTGATTGTCAGTTATATTCCTAGGCGAGGACTGGATGCTTTTCTTATAAAACCCCACAAAACTAATTACATTTCAATTGTGCATCACCCAAGAAAATATGATCTGTGATTTTCTAAGTACACTTTTCAGTTAGGAATAGTGTAAGTTATCGGGTCAAGTATTTTAGTCTAGTTGGCAATTACAGTCTCAACATAAACTAATGAATATGCATTCTGGTTTATTAATCTTAATCTCTTGTGAGTTTAAATACTATGAACTGGTCCCTTAGATCCTGATTGACCTACAAATGCCCTGATAAAACTGAGTTCTTACATCTTCCAAGCTGAGGACTGGGCCAAGATACACCATCTTAACTACATCTTGTTGACATGTTTCATACCCTGGCTACACACAAGCAGTCTGAATACCAGTTATAAAATGACTTAAAAGTCAGGGATTCCAAACTTGACCTCAGGAAAGCATCAGTGTTAAGACTGGAGTGTTTAAATGAAATACATTAACTGAATCAGATTAACTTTAACCTTTCCCTGCCCACCTTCCCCTCCCTGCAGAGAAGCCTGCAATGGATCTATTCCATAGCGGTATGGAGGGAGGGAGGATGTGGAGGTGGTATGGAAGACAGCTGCGTTACACTGAGCAGGTGAGTAAGTTGAGGACGAGATCCAGATTTCTCCCTATTAGAGAAGAAACCGTCAAGAAAGGAAGGACTAAAACGAACTGAGGTATTGCTTTGGAATTGAAAGTATCAGTATGAACTCACTGATTTTAATACACATACAAATAAATACAGAAATAGTTATAGATGTATGTATGTGTGCATATATTTTCTAGCTATGTCTGCTAAGCATGATAACCTTGGTTTCTAAATATTATCCTCAAGAGCTTCTTAGAGAAATGGCTGATTCCAGGGCTGGGGCAGAAAAAGGACAAGATGACCCTGGAAATCTTGTTTTGTCTGAAAGTAAGGGAATGCTCAAAGAATGATTGAGATATGTCAAAAAGACATTAGCAACCAACTTGAAGGGGCTTCTAATGGCCAAATCTAGGACACTTTGAGCATCAAAACAAATAATACACATACTGGATTATAAAAATTGAATAAAATAGGAACCCACAAATCCATACTGTCCTTAATGAACAAATAAACATATAAATGAGAAGGGAAAATTCTTATTACAGTAGAATGTTAATAATGTGGAAGGAATGATGGAAACCTTTGGCAACCATCACAGTAGTGGCTGATAAAGGCAAATATCATCAGTGGAGACTAAAGCTATTTAGTCAAGGTTTAGTGAAGAAGGAAAAGTGTAATACTGGAAATCCTCTGCAGAAATACTAGCCAAAGGGAAAATGGTAGCTTTAAAGCAGACATGGTGAGCTCATGGCAGGTCACCAAGGTTAACATCACCAGTGGTGAACAGTGGACATCCTGTGCCCTGGCGTGATGCAATGCATTGAGAACACAACATCTCTCTTTGGGTTTCCTGACAAGCATGTCCTGATTGTGAAGAAAGAATGGATGGGCCAATGTTAGAGGTCACCCTCTGGATTGTAAGGCCTGTAATCTTCAAAACTGCCAAGTCCAAGAAAGGCAGGGGAAGACTGAGGACCTGTTCCAGACTGGAGGACACTGAAAGCAGCATGACCTCTAAATGACTGGTAATCTGAGACTAAGTATGACAAAGAGACATCACTGGAATTTTTAGCAAAATAACTTATTTTGAAAAGGAAAAAATGAAAATTACTTCAAAAAGACACCTGCACCCCAATGTTCATAGCAGCACTAGACACGGAAACAGCCTAAATGTCCATCAACAGATGACTGGACTAAGAAGATGTGGTATATTTATACAATGGAATACTATTCAGCCATAAAAATGACAACATAATGCCATTTGCAGCAACATGGATGTTCCTGGAGAATGGCATTCTAAGTGAAGTAAGCCAGAAAGAGAAAGAAAAATACCATATGAGATCACTTATATGTGGGATCTAAAAAACAAAACAAAACAAAAGAACATAAATACAAAACAGAAACAGACTCATAGACATAGAATACAAACTTGTGGTTGTCAAGGGGGAAGGGGGTGGGAAGGGATAGACTGGGAGTTCAAAATCTGTAGATACTGACAGGCATATGCAGAATAGATAAGCAAGATTATACTGTCTAGCACAGGGAAATATATACAAGACCTTGTGGTAGCTCACAGCGAAAAAATATGACAATGAATATATGTATGTTCATGTATAACTGAAAAACTGACACAACATTGTAAAATGACTACAACTCAATAAACCAATGTTTAAAAAGATGAAAATCAAAGGCCTGCAAATTTGACAGTGGTATACAGAAGTTCACTATAATCTAAGACTGGAGAAGAATCCCCAGAAGACATGCATATTATTACAAATGAGCCAATTTCTGGATGATCTTAAACTCCCTATGTATACCCCTATTTTTAGCATTTATTTTATTGTTTCACAAATATTTATTACTTGCCTGCCACCCCACAAGACTAGAGGAGAGGAATTTTTGCTTTATTCACTAGGATCCCTTATCATGGTTACTTTTATAGCCCTCCTAGTCATCCTATTAATTCAATGATGGCTTTGTAGCAACCAGATCCTAGCCTGTGCACCCAAGTTCTGCTCATTAACTAACTCCTAGTTAGTCATCGACCTCCCATCCTGTTGGGTCAGTGACCTCTTCAGTTCCAATGCATCTACTTCCCATTTTACATCCCAAATCTTGTCATCACCAGCTTCTGTGGCAAAAGCTCTACGTCATCATGCTCTCACCTATAAATAAAGAACTTGGATACAAATAATCCTGAAATCTCGGTGACTACCACGTATACGCACTGCGGTGGAGGTGTCATTATGCCCAATTTACAGACAGTAAGACTGAAGTTTAGAAGGTCCAAAGATATAAAAGTAATGACTGGTAAATGCAGGCTTCAACTTTAGAATCTCTGGTGCACTTATCTATACTACACTGCATTCTTTATAGGATCTATAAAGGACCTTTCCAGTTTAAACATTCTGAGATTCACAGAAAAAGAAACAAGCTAAGGTTAAAAAGAGAGTAACTGTACTGATAAATTATAATGCTGAGTTGTTAGTCTAATGTTTCTTATTGACTGGTAATTTCTGTTTTAAAGCGATTTACATATAAATGTTTCTCATTTCAGCCCCAAATTAATTACTGAAGGAAGAAATGTGGAAAGATCCTTAACAATGGAACAAAAAAACTGAACCATACTCACAAGCTCTCCGTAGCGTGCAGCTGAAGTCATACGTGGAGGAAAATTCCCTGTGCTGCTGAAACATAATCCCCCTGTCTTCGTAAATAAATAAGGAAAAAAAAGTTAATGGAAGAATAAAAGGAATTTAATTAAAAGATATATACATTATCAATTTGATTAGTCTTACTAAAATGTTAGGTTCAGAACATGCACAGGACCTGCTGGTATTAATGAATGTTGGTTCACATCGGATACACCTGTCAACATAACAAAAATAATTTTTAAAATGTTAATGAACTATACAAACCCTAATTTAATTGATAACTGGTCTTCTTAAACACTGGATTAGAATAGATTCAGTCAACTAAGCAAGTACTTGTAATAAAGTGTTATATTAAAAATATTAACACTAATTTGAATAGTTTTATACTACTCTTTGTATTACAAGGTAAGGTATAGATAAAATTAACCAAAAACAGGAGAATATCCTTTTGAAATCCCATGTAATATAAAACAAATAATATTGAATAGCAAAGATGGCTAAGTCACTCAATTAACAAGAAACCCCAACAAACTCATATAAATAAAACCCAATCATTTTTTATAAGTAGTTATATCGAATATACCATCCTTCTTTTTCTACCATAAAGCAAAAAGGTAATATATGCTCATCAAACCTACAACCAACACTTTTTTTTTGAGTGAAGGTAGATTTATTCAGAGAGATACATCGAAAGACAAGAGAAAGGCCAAAAGGTGTGGGGGCTGGGTGCTCAGATTAAAAGTAGGTACACATTCCATAGACAGCGTGCGGGCAGTCTTTGAAGAGTGAGAGAGAGGGGCGGCCAACTCGCCTTGTTGCTGGTTTTTATGAGCTTGGTGGCTTCATATGCTAATAAGTAGAAGGACCAGTCTAAGGGGAAGGGGCTGGGATTCCCAGGAAGTTGGCCATTTCCCACTCTTTGATCTTTAGTGGCTAGCCTTGAAGACTGCCATGGTGCCCAAACAACACTTTTAAAGTCTTTCCATCATCTTTGCTTATTTTAGGAAAACCCTTTACATTTTTCTTTAATGAATGATATAGGAGGGAGGGAGGGCACTGGACCAGTGGGGACTCTGATGCGTCTATAAGGGTACTCATTACTTGCAAGATAGAACAGGTAGGAGGAGGGGCCGGGGCATGGGACACAACTCAGCCTAGGCGTGAGGAGGCCCGGGAGGGGAGCAACAGGGGATCAGCCTCGCACTCTGCATTCAGATGCCACAACCTAGGTCAGCCTGAGAGAAAAGAAGATTTAACACTAAGGATCCCGAGAAGCTGCTCAAGGATTTTCTACCTTAAACTTGGGAACTGGAAAGGAAACTGTGTTTAGAGGGAAGTCAGCATGTAGGCCTCTAAAAAAATTGAGGAAGCTGGAATAGAGATAAATGAGTTAGAGAGAGGAGGTGTGTGTTGAGGGTGCAGGTATGCATGCATAAAGGGGGAACAGGGAGCGACAGAGAATAGGGCTATAAAGCAGGGAAACTGGGTTACAATTATCATTACATTTATTAATATATTTTTATGTAATATAATACATAAAGATAGTGTCCGGTAGGCAATAAGCATGCTGCAAATAAATGTTACTATTATATATCATAGATTATGTACAAATTACATAACACCATACAAAAATAGCTACCTTTTACTGAGCACTAACTCTGTAGAACTCTATATATTTATTTCTGAGCTGTAAAAACAGCCTATGAAGTGGGTGGTGTATCCCCATGCTAAAGAAAAGGAGACTGACTTACTGAGCTTTTGACGGTCCAACAACTAACAAGAGACTGAAACAAGATTTAAACCCTATTCTGTCTCATTCTCTGGGCCTCAGCTTCTTCACTGCTTAATATCTGCCTTCCTTGGGTCATTTGTGAGAAGCAAGAAACATGATAGGGAAATACTTTGAAAAGGCACAGCTTCGACATAAATATAAGACGATATTAATAAAGTCAGCACCCAGCACACTGCTTACCTGTTTCCTAAAGCATTTGCTACCATAAAAGAGTTTTCACTTCCATCACAGAGTTTACAAGTTGCTTGAGGCAACAAGGTTCCATTAACATCTCTTTCCACTAAATAATTTAGAAACAATTAAGATGTAACTCATAGTCAACATATAAGCATCTATACACTTAGTAAAAACCACTTATAATTATTATTGTAATAATTCTCAAAACACCTTATTTGCAAAAAAGGCATGCCAAGCACTTCTATAATAAAGTACTGAAAAGTAATACTTAGTCCCAGACAAAAAATACAGAAGAAACTAATTTCCAAATCATCATCATCATCCTCATAATAAATTATTATATTTTCCTCAAAAATTTTCTTATCTCTTACCTGTATGTTCCTGTTACACTGGGCATGGGGAACAAGTATTTTCATAGACTGCTGGTAAGTTTCTGGGCTTTTGGTGGTAACTATTAAAATTGTAAATTCACATATTCTACAATACCACAATTTCATTTTCAGAAACCTAACCTACAGAAACACTTGTTACCTGTGTATAAGAATATTTATCAAAGTAATATTTGTTAGAAAACAATCTGAATATTTAAAATAACAAAATGCTATGAAATATAATGGAGTGGATTAAAAAGAACGAGGCAGGTCTAATAGATCACACTACTAACTAAAAAAAGTACATTGTATAACAGACACAGATATCAAAATGGCAGCAATTACTTTGGGGCTGAGGGAGTAACAGAGAATCAACACTCGGGAAAAATGGCTCAAGACCATTAGTCTCAATCATAATGTTATTCAAAGTATTTTATCCACGTGATCTAAGCCTTTCCAAGGTGGTAAAAATAATTTTAACAAAAGTAAAATTGAACAACTTGTTCTTCCTACAGCCTATAGCCCTATGAATTGTTATTTTTAATGATATGTACTTTCTGGGTTAATAATTATTAAAAAATTATCTACCTGACTACCTATGCATTTCCTTCTTTTATCAGAAATGGGGGAGTGGTATAGCTCAAGTGGTAGACTGCATGCTTAGCATGCAGGAGGTCCTGGGTTCAATCCCCAGTATCTCTACTTAGAAAAGAAGAGAAATAGGAAGAGTTGGGAGGAGCTGTGCAAGAAGTAAGATGTACCTTCCTTCTGTCCACTCTCCCATCCTTCCCAATCCTTATTGCAAACCCACAGAAAAAATTAACAGCAAAAGTTCAGGGTGGTGCTAAGGAACTCATACCATGAAGGATTTTAAATATGCAATAGTAGCCTCTAAAACAGTGAAATACTATTTTCACAGCTGCCACCCAACCTGAAGGGATCACAAGTGCCAGAGTCACTTTTTGGGCCCCCTAGCATCTAGCCTTCACTCTCAGCAACTTTAGCACCAGGGATTTCAGACTGTCAAAAGTAATCTCAGTGACTCAGCCCACACTCAGCTCTCCACAGTATTTAAATCTATGTATCATCATTGCTTTCACCCCACTTAGAAATCCCAGAGACAGTTCTGACTTTTCCCTTTTCCTCATTCCCATGTTCCTTCACTCACCTAGGTCTATCAACAACCTTCTAATGCTTCTAGCATCTACTCCTTTGTGTACGATTTATCCTAATTCTGGTTCAGGTCCTTACATCCTCATGCGTACAGCACTGCAATAGCCTCGTCACCGTTCTACTTCTGGTCTTCTGTAGCTTAAATGTAAACTTTAGGAAGGCAGGGACTTTGTCCCTGTTCACTGTGTTCACTGCCTTACTCTTCATGCCCCTGGACAATGCCCAGCACACAGGAGTTTAATAAATATTTGCTGAATGAACAAATGCAACAGATGGCTGCCAGATTAATCTTAATCATTCCCCTGTTCAAAACTTTCAAGAAATGCCTATGCCCACGGAACATCCTATCATATCGGTAAAGGCTTTCCACAGCCTGGACCAACGCACCTTTAAACTCAACAAACTGTTATTCTCATAATCCCTTCACACTCAAATCTGGATGTTTACACTTGTAACGATACCTTTGTGCACACTGTTCCTTCTGCCTGGACTGTTCTCTTTCTCGCTACCTTCTGAAATCCCATTACTCCTTCACGGTCCACCTGTTTCACTGCTCCCCACGGCAGCTTTCCCAAACAGCCCTGGTAGAAGTGGGTTCTTCCTCCTAGAGCATTTACTGTCCATAGTGATCATTTGATGATTTAATGTATGTGCCCCTTGTGAAAATATTTTATTGCTATCTTGCTCTGCAAACTACTGTTCCATATGTATCTCCTACCTTCTAATGAGATTTTAAATAAATTGATGGCAGGGATTTTCATCCCTCTAAAAAATCATTTTTGAATAGGTAATGCATAAATATAAATATAAAAATAAAAGGCACAGAAGAATTTAAAGTGAAAATTAAGTCTCTTTCCTACCCCTTTCCTTCAGACACCCAGTTTTCCACCTTGGAGGCAACACTGTTACCAGTTTCTTTTGAATTCTTCCAGAAATAGGCTATGCATATACAAGCATGTATGCACATATAATCTTTTTTAGAAACCATACATGGTAGCATACCAAATACACAAAACAGTGCTGATAAATAGCAGGTAATCAATAAAAATTTGCTGATTAAAAAAAATCAACATTTCTATACTTTGCTATTTTAATTATTATATTTTGGATTTCCTTCCACAGCAATACTTAAACAACTGTATTATTTTTCTATAGCTAAACCCTATACCATTGTATGGATATATCAGAGTTTATGTGACCAATATTCTCTTGACAGATTTTACACTGTTTATAATCTTTTGTCTCAGGAATGTTGCAATAAAAAACTATGCATACACTTCTTCAGACATACTTACCTGTACTGGGGCAAGAAATTCCTACATGGGGGCTGCTGGACAATGATCTACATTTTCAAAATGCTGTCAAGTTGCTCTCTAGAGAGGTTGTACTAATTTATACTCCTCCAATAATATGTGAACAACTGTCTCCCTGTATGCTTATAAATACACTGTCCAAGTTCAAAAAGGTTGATAATATAATCTGGTAGGTTAAAAAATTAATGTCTAAATTAAAATTTTAATATTATTCTTACTGGGAAGGTTGAACATTTTTTTCACGTTTAAATATTTTTTCTCTGTGAACTATGTTCATGATTTTTGGCCATTTAAAAAAGTTATTCATCTTGCTCTTATTTATTTGTAGAAGCTTTACATATATTGTAGAATTTAGCTCTCTGTTGCATGCATTATAAACTTTTCTCGCGTTTGTAGGGTTTTTTCTGGTTCTATTTTTATGTAGTCAAATTTACCAATTTTTCTTCTATAGCTTGTGTTTTTTCTCATACTTAGAAAGGCCTATTCCACACCAAGACTATTAAATTTTTTTCCTAATTTTTAATTTACATTCATAGATTCATATTTAATATTTAAATATTTGACTGACCTGAAACAACTTATTTTTTAAGGACTAAGGTAAAAACCCAACTTAGTATTTTCCCAGTTTCCCCAACACCAATTTATTAATCAGTCTTTTCTCCCCTAATATGAAATGCCACTTTTGGCACATACCACATCACCACTCGAATTGAATCTACTTTAATTTTTTTAAGTTCCATCCATCAGCCTGTGTTACCCATTTGCCAGCCATATATGTTATTACAGTAGCTATAAAATGTGCATAGTACCTGATGGGGAAGTTTCCTCTTTCTTTTTTCAGAATTTTCTTGGCTTTTCACATACTGTTTCAGATAAACTTTAGAATTTAAGAATTAGTTTGGATAGTCCCTAAAACACAAACAAAATCCTAGTCGAGTTTATTAGAGTTCCTTTAAATGTAGAGATATTATTGGGAGAGCTGACATCTTTGTACAATATTTAAATCTTCTCATCCAAGAACAACATATATATTTCATTTATTAAAGCCTATCTTTGTGTCTCTCAGCAGCATTCTAAGGTTTCTTCAATTAATTTACATTGTTCATTTTTTCTAAAGTTTATGCCTAGGACTTTTTTCTTTCTTTTTTGTTGCTATGCAGATGAGATCTTTTCTTTGTTCACATTTGCTAAAAGATTGTTCTTTGGATAGAGGGTGGCTACTAACTGATTCTTACTTTCTCCTATTTAATTACTACACAATCTATTTCTTTCACTTACCTAAGTGAGCTTTATCCAGGTACTAACGTTAGTAAGAATGCTTAAAAATTTTCCCTATTAAGCATCATTTTGGCTTTTGAGTTGAAACACATATTTTA